AGGAAGTCCTAAAGAGCCTGATTAGCAATATTACTAATAATTTCTGTAGCAAGAAACCAGCGATCTTCAATAACAACTAAAAGGAGCACAAGACAAATGAAAGCTTTTCAGGATGCTGTATGACATTTTTGCATTAAAATAACCACATAAAAATTTTATCATTTGGTTAGAGTGCAGCCTTATAACACCAAGGTCACTGGTTCAGACCCCCATACTAGCCAGCAGCCAAAAAAATAATAGTAATAATTTTAAAATAAAGTCAATTGCCTCAATAACACTTTAGCATAGATCATCAGAAAATGACTGAAATTTTGGTCACAGACAGAAAAGACTATGTGACAAACAAGCTCTGAGTGTGAATATGATTCTTTGCCTGAATTTAACCTTTTCTTTGAATTCAATCAAACTAATTCCAGTGAGTAACACAGATAGTGTCTAGTATTTGCATTTCTGTATATGCCACAGCAATTATAAAGAATTTACCAGGTCATCAAAGATATCCCTTTGGTGCACATGAATGGTAATCAAAGTCTCATATTTAACCCGTTCCATGGAACTCAGATCCTTCGTGGTGATGTCTATCAGTGTGTTTAGTAGCTCCAGGAAAGACTGATTGGTTTTATGCATGATTTTTTTATCAAACTTGGCATTTCTAAGGGCTTCTTCTGAATCCCGTGTCCATATCATTTGAATTCCTAATAATCCAACCTTATGGAAATAAAAAAGGCTTTATGAGTGTGCATGGCATATTTATATATTTAAATAGAAATTACAGCATAATGAATAGTTGTGATTATTATGCAAATGTAAAGCCTTGATTACATCAATCTGATACCTTGTTTCACAACTTATGGAAATTCTATTTCTTGTCATTATAAGTCATTTATGTTTGTCACATTTCTCCCTAGATGGATTTTAAGTTACTCGCAGGTAAAGAATATGTTCTCTTAAACTTGGTTTACCCAAATTAGCACAGTGTTTACACAGAGTACTCACAAAATCCTTAGTGATCACATGACTAAGGAAACATTGTTTCCTGTATGTTAATGCTAAAATATATTTTTTTCATTTGTTTAGTAAAGCACCCACTCAGTACATTTTATGATTTTTTATACATTGTAAAGGGATTCAGTAGGGAAAAGAGTGTTTTAAGTTAAAGACAATATATCAAATATCTCTACAACCCAAATACATGTTTAAGTCTATACAAATAAACACACACACACACACACACACACACACACACACACACAAGGGTACTTCAAAAAGTTTGTGGAAAAATAGAACTGAAGGATAATGCTAAGTTTTCCATGAACTTTTTGAAGTACCCTCATATATATGTATATATATATGTATAGTATTCTGTGTTGAAATCTTTTATCTACAGTTAATGAATTCTTATGAAAATTTTAATATTGGTTCAGGGTGAAATGACAGTCATTTGTGAAGCTTACAGTAGGCAACGTCTGAGATTTAAGATGACTATTTCATAAAAAATACTTTCTAATTTCAATACACTGACCTGAGCAGGGAAGGAAGAAAGAAATTCAATCAGTTGGAAACCTGTTTCTTGAATATTTGCAGCTGCCTGTCGAATCACAAGATGTAAGGAGGACCGAGATTCTTCCAAGAGAGAATTAAGCCAAGCTTCTACTTTGCCCTCTGCCATCACAGGTTTATCCAATTCAATCGTCTCACCCTCTCGAGATGAAATTGACAGGATTCGATCATAGATCTATGTTAGAAGCCAAAAAATAGCTATCTTCATATAAAAAAATGAAAAATTATTTTTGATTTTTCCTGTCAATGTTATCCTTTCCATAGAAAGTTAAGCTACAGGTTATAAATTACAAGGCAAAATATAATATAAAATCAATTCTAAAGCAATTTTTAAAAGTTAGTCATGAAATCTAAAAAGGAATATTAAATCAATTCCAAATAATCTATATTCTAAGGAGGAATACTTATTTTCTAAAAAATATTTAATACAAATGTGATGATTAAAAAAAATTTCTAAAATTTCCCTAATGAAATGAGACTCTCTAAGAGGCTATCATTCTACAGCACAAGATAATCAAGTTGACATTTGCAATGACCTGGTCAATATGGTCAATGCAAAAACCATACAAGGTAATCCCAATTACATACCAGACATGGGGCTCTTTACAGGAGCTGTTGGTCACACATACTGTTTTCTAATCAAACCCAGTGCCTATTCTGGTCATTTCACTTTAGTTTCCATGCAGCATGGTATAATGAGAATAGCACAGTATTTGGAGTTCTAAGATATAGGTGCAAAGGGGCCTCTTCCATTCACTGTTGTAGGACAACATTTCTGAGACTAAATTTCTTGCCTGTAATAAGTCATTAAAAATCATGCTCTTCTCACTTCCCTAGTCATCTCACAAGCTACTCGTGCCAATTAAACAAAATAACACAAACTATAAAGTAAACACAAATGTTTGCTGATGTTTCTGTTCTTTGAAAAAATGAAATGTTGTCCCTTTGGGCTCAGATTTAGTGCTGTACAATGAAGTCCTCCTTAGTTGTAGACAGAAGTTGTCTACTAAAAAGCTTATGAGCCTTAAGTCAAAGGGCCCCTCACTTGCACAGACCTTTTCCAATGTCCTGAATATAAATTTGTATTTATAATTTTACAAGATTTAAGGCCCACAAAACCAGGATCAGCCCTTGGTTATAGACACCTTACGGCAGAAACAACAAAAACCAAATGCAAGGCTATCTTAAGAAATAATTGCTATGAACAGAGGCTAAAATGTTATGCACATTTAATCAACAAATGAGGAAGTGTTAGTTATCTTCAGTGTACAACCTGAAACAGGAGAAGCTTCGCTCTTGGACCATGAAGTCCCAGCGCAGCAGCCGGACTTAAGCGAAACATCAGGAAGAACTACCTGGTTAATTTAGTCTCTACTTTCAACGCACATGTCCAATAGATCAACAAGAAACATTGATTTTGAATCATTAAAATCCATCTGTCTTTTCTTCCTCCCTGTCCCCTCTATCAAGGCTTTGTTACAGCAGTTCAGCCTTTTCCATCCTGACTTTGCAATCACTTCCAACACTGGTTTTCTTGCCCCCTTTCATTCCACCTCCTACACTGCACCAGAGAATCTTTCAAAAACATAAATCAGCTTGCTATCCTGCTTAAAAGCCTCCCCTGGCTTTTTGTCACATTCAGGATGAAGTAAACATTCCATAGGGTGATGCACTCGGCCTTTGGAATCTGGCTCATGCCTTCTTCTCCCTTCACTTAGCACTCCCTGGTGTGGGTTAATTGTGTCCCCCAAAAGGTATTGAATTTCTAACTGCTGGTACCTGTGAACATGACATCTGCAAATAGTTTTTGCAGATGAAGTCAAGATAAAGGTGTACTAGATTAGGGTGACCTAATAAGAAGAGGTGTCCTTATAGGAAGAGGAAAATTTAGACACAAAGACACAGACACATGTGTCTGTGGGAGAATGCCACATGAAGTTAGAAGCAGACACCAAAGGGACTTGTCTGCAACCCGAAGTGCCAACAGTCACCAGAAACTACAACAGAGACCTGGAACAGATTCTTCCGCAGAGCCTGCAGTAGGAACAAACCCTTTTCACACCTCATCTTGGACTTACAGACTCCAGAACTTTCAAAGAATATATTTCTATTACTTTAAGCCACGGAAGCCCTAGGAAACTAATATACTCCCTCACACACACCCTGACATCCTAGGGCTGCTGTGGCTTAAAACAACTGAAGAAGGGAGGCATGGTCTTTGCTCGGGCCCTTCCTTCTTACTGGACCACACTCCCTTCCTCACCTCCCTGGTTGTGTTTCATTCATCTTCAAAAAATCAATTCAAGTTTATGTTCTCCTGCAGGAAGCCTTCCCTGACATCCCCATACAGCCCGGTTAGGGCTCCCTGATGGACATTCCCGTGCTTCCTGTGTTTAATACAAGTACATTAATAATAATTCAAATCCAAAATCATCAACAATTGCCAAATTTCTCCTGAAGACCATGCTGCCTAAAAACAGTTTCAATGCTGATTATGACATATTCTTCCTTGGAAGTCCAGGGCCAGCATCATGTCTGGCACATAGCAAGGGTCTTGACTTCAACGACTGCAACAACTATCGTTTAATTGCTTTCTGTAGAATCGTCTACACTGCACTAACTGCACTCTATACACAACATCTGTTTACTTCTCTATCCCCCGTGCCCCCCCAGAGCACGAGTTCCCTGAAGGTTGGTACTTGCATTGCTTAACAAGACATCAGGCACATCGATAAATGTAAATTGCATGAATAAATGAATGCTACTAAAGGTTTGTATGAGCACCAAGTGGAAGTGACCACAAACATGAAGGATCACTTTCCTAGAGAATTTGGGGTGGAGGGATGGATTAGACAATATCTTTTGGCAGCTGTACAAGTATAGTCTCCCTCAAGATGAATGGCTTCTTTTGGGTCCCATACAACTCCATGATTCTAGGAACATGTTGGGAGTATAAAAATAATAAAAAGTTTTAATAAACATCTAAAATATCTGAAACCTGATTAAAATAATCAAATCACTGCGGCAATACTGTTTAATCAAGGCACTATTTTATGAACAATTGGTTTCTTTGTCTTGTTGGATTTCTAAGCAGTTAACTTGGCATGTGCAGCCATGAATGCTACCTACAATGCATTTGTAATTATATTTAAGCTATCATTTTTTATTTAAATCTACACTTTAGATATTAAGAAATCACAGTATTAAAGGTAAATTGGGCCCCAAAGTTTGTTTTTAATCACTGGCCAAAAGTTAATGGACAGGAAAGTAACCCTTTGCAAACACAATCTCAGAGAGCTAATTTATAAAGACGGTTGAAATTCTGAGATACAGTGACTGTTGGCCAGCAATTAGAATTTAGTTAATGGACAGGAAAGTAACCCTTTGCAAACACAATCTCAGAGAGCTAATTTATAAAGACAGTTGAGATTCTGAGACACGGTGACTGTTGGCCAGCAGTTAGAATTCGGCAAACCTTTTCATGGAACTTGACCGTTTTAATGTTGTCAAACACATTCAGCAAATGGGCTTGTATGGTGTGGGAGTCCGACGCCTGCCCCAGAATCTCCAGAAGGGCAGGATCCGAGACAAAAAAGAACCGAGGAAAGCAAAGTCGTTTTTTCTCCAAGTATCTAAGTGCAGAGGGAAAAGATAAACTTTTATAAATACACAAAGCTGACGTGTCGAGGAATAGATTAACCTGGATGGGAAAAAGAAGAAAGATTGTGTGACAATCTAATTTTCCCACATGAATCCTCAGTGGCTTTGGTTTTTTGATTTGTTACAAGTTTTGTCAAATATCTGGAGTCCCTCATTTTCTTAAAGTCTTACTTTTATGCTCATAATTTTGTTGGCTTTAGCTTTTTCCTTTCCTTGGTTTAAAACTGCCAATTTTATTATTTTAAATATCTCAATCCTTCTCATTTGTATAACTTTGATTTCTATTCTTAGTAGCTTCCTTACTTATTCCTATTCCTTACTTGCTATCCTCCTCACAGGAACCTGGTCCGATTCTGCTGAGGAACCAGATAATGTTTTCTCTCCCGTTAAACCAGGATGAAAAGAGGCAGGTGGCATGTGACCATCAAGCATCTGTGATGGAGTAGAAAAGACAACTTATCTTTACAGAGGCTTTCCTGCTTAACCCACACTCAAATTATGATCTCATCTGTGTGAATTCTCTTCCCGTCCACACTGATCTTTAGCAGCTTGGTAAGGTGTTGTTTTTGTGTACTCAAATATTTATACTGGGTTTACACATGTTGGCTCATCACCTGTTCTTGGAAACAGAATTAAAAGACAAGGAAAGCTCAGTAAAAAGCCTGTGAATAAGTTTTGTGTAGACTTTTTCTCTGAGGAGTTATAAAATAATGTCAGAATGTAAAGTAATAGCATAGAATATGACCGTGGTAAGAAGAAAGAATGAAAGAGAAAAGAGAAAAATAGAGGGTGTGTGTGTGTGTGTGTGTGTGTGTGTGTGTGTGTGTGTGTGCATTTCTATGACAGCAGTTGAAAGATGAGGAAGGGAGAAAAAAGTAACAAACCTAGCTGCGGGTAGACCAGTGATACGATTCCTCAGCAAATTTTTTTTCAGTGTTGACTGAACTGCATGATGTCATGGTGATTCCTGCCCCTCAGTCTTTCCATCTTGAAGAGCCCTGGGAGCATGAAAACTTTCTAACCCTTTCCGCTTTCTCTCTGGCCTGATCCTGGTAATAGACTGCATGACAATCATGTCGGGTCTACACCAAGAACCTACAGTGGTGCCTGAAACATAGTTGATCATGCTAAGTAATCATTGTGGCTAAAAAGAATAGTATAGCATCATTTGAAAACCAGAATCCTTTTTGTCAAACATTCTTCAATGGTTACTTGACTTGATCCAACAATTTCATAAAGTGGAACAAATTATTATTACCTGAGAGCCCATTCTGCTAAAAAGTTATGGTGGGGGAATTACTTGCAAGTGGTTTTGCTTTAGAGTAGACAGTTAAAGGGTGCTTTACTGATACTGGCATTGGCTATGATTATGCTGTTTAATACTGCCAGCTTAGGACAATTGTCTAAAGGAAAGGTTCATGGTGATACTCTATAGCATACACCTTCGGGGTGCCCATCACTTAAATTAGAGTAAACTTGTAAATACTTGCTAAGGAGAATCTTGGCCTTACCCCTAGTTCCTACCTCCATAGGTAGCGGGGTAGACAACCCTTTAGGTATGGTCTTGTTCAGACTCTTCAACTTTCCTAAAAGAATACCAACCTCAAAAGCTCCCCAACCAAATGCCAAAGTCCATGAAATTTTTTAAAGATAGCCAAATATTTTTTAAGTGAATATATTTTTAGTCTGCAAAATCTGATATAAAATTTAAATGGAAAGTATATAAAATGATTTACTATTAGTTATTGTAATTGAAATGAGAAATATAAATATATAAGCATATTCATAAAGCCAAATGATACATTACATCTTGGGCACAGGTGCTGATGGTCAGCTGTGTGCCCCATGAATATGGGTAACCAATAAAAATTAAAAATAAATAAATAAAAGAATGGAAATATAAAACCTACTAATTCAGTGACATTTCAGAGTCTATTAAGCATTTGCCACCAAAGCATTGGGTACCTTGTATTTATTGTTTAATATTCATTCTGAAGGCTAATCTAAACTCAATCTGATCTAAACTCTGTCATTTAGATATACCATTATTTTTTAAATTACAGAGGGTCTTTTAATATGAATTTTTTTCTTAACCAGCAGTGCAGATTGCTGATCCTCTGGATTCTTGTCAGAGTTTAAATCTCTCAGATTTTACACTATCCAATACCTTCCACCAACTTGGACAAGAAAATGATATTAATGAAAGATCTGTTGTTGAAGTGTATGCAATCATTCACTCGCTTATTTCCCTGGATCAAGCCATTCTGTTGGAAAGACTCATGCTTGGCTCATACTGTGATAAGAAAGTAGGTGAGGATTCTGCTCAGGATTCCCTTTTAAAAGGGCACACAATAGAACTGTCTCCAAGGCAGCAATTTAAGGACCCCCCAAAAAATGTTTTTCTGCATTGTTATAAAGCAACTTGTACCTTTTGTCTTGTGGATTCTATGAATGTTGCACCTAACCATACATCACTCTTTGCTCTGGTCTCTAGGAAGAGACTCTGGTCTCTGAATTTGAGCTTCCTTTATGATTTTGCTCTGCAACAGTTTTACCATCTTAGCCCTTCTTTATCAGCGCTTCTTTTCCTTTGACTTTAACTTTCCCATTACTTCATTATTTTCAGTAGCCATTTCTAAATTTTTTCTGGTTAGCCAAGAATAGATAAGCAATTCAAATTACTTACATGTTATCATACAGGTATTTTTTCTGTTTTCAGTTTAGTCATTTTTTTGTTGTTGTTGTTGTTCAAGTTTAGTGAACCTCTCTATTTACTTCACAGGGATGCTTCTAAAATGCCGTTAGAAGCCCAGTATTTTAACCATCACCTTTGTCTATGAGAGCAGCCTGGCTTAGGTGACCAGGTTCCTCAGTGAACAGGACAAGCTAGCTATTCACAGGACACTATGACAAGTCATGAGGACATGAGGATGTACACACGGGGAAAGGTCATCTGTCTCTCAAAGTTGGCCAAGGAAACATCAAGGTTCCTCAGTGAACAGGACAAGCTAGCTATTCACAGGACACTATGACAAGTCATGAGGACGTGAGGATGTACACATGGGGAAAGGTCATCTGTCTCTCAAAGTTGGCCAAGGAAACATCTTTATTTAGGTTAAATGCTCAAAATGAGCATATCTGCTAGAAGTGTCAGTGTACACTTACAATATTACTATTTAACATAATTCTACTTACATAATTTTATTTTGGTTAACCAAGGGAGAAAAAAACAAATAAAAAATTTATGACTCTCAGAATTCAGCAAGCCTACATATGCATAAGTGTTTTTTTAGATTGATAGATATTATACTAGACACTCATTTCTTCATAATCCTGACCACTTGTGTACACTGTGCACTGCTTCATGTAAGGAATATCATGAAGTACTTTGGTTCTACAGATGTTTATCCAAGGATTTTATCAGAAAAATAGGTGTACTAATTTTTAAAAAGCAGGAACTATATAAGAACATTTGCAAGATCTTATCCCAGTCATGGAAGCTGCCTTAAGTTTCATGATTCCAGCATCAGGACAAATCTAGTAAATGTCTGGAGAGAACATAAGGCTCCAATCTATCCGTTTCATCTGTGCAACATCTAGTAAAAGAAAACAAATGCAGCTAATGCCACCTAGTCTCTCTGTTCCCTTTCATCTCTAGGATAATGAGAACTTTCAAAGAGCCAGTGAACTTACCCAGTAAGGGATTTCTGACATATCTCCAACTGGTCCAGCAAGTGCGGCAATAGTTGACCCATGGTCTCATCTCCAACACAACACTGAACTACATTTGGCATTTCATGTGCCCGAGTCATGATCTTCACCCAAGATTTATCTATATTGGAAAAGCGCTTGGCTTCCTATAAGAATGAGAAAACAAAGCATACTTGGACCCACAATGAGATCTCAAGGACACATTATCTCATGTATCTCTAGCTGAGGCTAGAGTTCTAACCAATCCGGACACCCAAGCAATACATGCCTAATGTCACACACATTCTGTTCAAATTCTCCTTGGGAACTCTGCACCATATCACCCCCTTTGTTAAGTAAGAATCTTGAGCTAAACCCTGGTACTCCCATCATGTTAATTCAAAACAGAAAACAGGTACAAAATAATAATACAATAGAAGGTAACTTGGGAGGAGAGGCCACCTGCAATTGTTTTTATGGGTTATCTATAAATGGAGTCAATTTTCTATTTTCAAGTTTTCTACACTGAGCATTGGATTGTTTGTGTATTTTAGAAAAAATCAAACATTTCAAAATAAGGAGACAAATTGGTTAAAGGACACAAAGAATGATTGAGTATTGTAATGATGAATAAGCTAACTATCCTGATCTAACCATCACATATTATACACAGTTATTGAAAATCAACATTGTACCCCATGTGTATGTATAATAAATTACCTTTAAAAATTAAGAAAACTAAAAAAGTAACAATAAAAAATAAATAAATAAGAATGAGACAAAATTAATTCTAGTATAGCCCTAATATTGAAAAAAAGTAATAGATTTTTTCAACAAAAATGAAAAATGCAGAGATTATTTTGGACAGAGTATGGATAATTTTTATTTTCTTTCTTAAAACTTTCTGTGTATTACCAGTGAGTATATACTACCAAATATGAGAGCAAGAAATTCCACCTAGCTCATTGAATATTTTGTGTAAAATTTCCATTATTAAGTCCAATCTTAGATTCTTCTCTTCCCATCAAGAAGAAAAACATGCACAAATATAAAAGCAAAAATAAATAAAGACTTAAAATTTGAGTGTGTGAATACATTTCACTGCTAGCCAAAAAATAAATGATCTGTCTTACAGTCAGGTAACAGATATGTCTTCTATAATTACACTGAAAACTAACAAAAGAGAAAGTTAGGAAACCTAAGTGAAGAGAATACTCAATATCACCATGCTCCAATCTCTCTTTGGTGCATCATGCACCAAATCTCAGGTATATTGTATGTTGTTAAAGTTGTATAATCTTGCAAACGACTTAAGCTAATTGAATAAGAATCCTTGAGATCTAGTTAAAATGTTTTTTAAAATATCAAAATATACCCCATATACACCAATGAGATGATTACAAGTTGAGGAGAAAAATACAGTCGACATCTTGAGAAGAAAGCCTTTTTGTTTTGGAACTGTTTCAATGCAGATTTTCAGCCCTCTGTCTTACGGTACAGATATAATTGGGTAAAAATGTCAGTAGTAGAAGAACAAATTATCCTACCATTGTCAGGATAACTAAGCCAAAATTCTACACTGTTCCAAATTCTATCTTCAAATTATCTGATGAAGCATATCAATTACGTAGCATGCATTCTTCGTGTTTTTAAGCCTCTGTTTCCTATCAAACCTCACAGCTCTGTAGCACTCTTACTTTCTGATTGTCACCCCTTTCCTTTCCACAGTTCCTTACCCCCTTTGAAGAAAATAGCATCAACAACAATGAGGAAAAGATGGGGGGAAGGGGTTCAAAAGAGATTAAAATATCATTGCATTTTCTAAGGGATAATTAGTTTTTAGACATTTCTCTAATTGAAAAGCCTGTTGAAATCACAAAGAAAATGTCAAAACCTTGGGCAGCTGCTTGGCAATGTCTCCTCCCACAAAGACGGCTTCTAAATAAATCCACAAGTTTTGCACCATCATCCAGTTCTCGATGATGTCTGTTGAGTTGGAAAGATACTGCACCCATTTTTGAATCTGGGCTTTGAATGGCATATTGTACCTAAAGCAGGAAATACATTCAGTATGTTGTTTTTGTTTTTGCTGTATTGTTGTCAACCTAAAAAGGCTTTTAAATCACAGGTGGACAGAACTGGGTTTTCTTTCCTATTGAGGGAATTGTAGAAACCCAGATAACAAATGAGGAAAGCACAGACTGCCTCCTGCACTTGGTTTTTCTTGAGGTGAGCATTGTCTCCTGAGTGGCTCCACCAAGTGTCACAAGGGCAAGAAATGGGCCTTATTTATTTCCGCCTCCTTCCAGCCCACTCTGAATGTGCCCTGCAAAGTAGAGGCGCATTACTAGACACACAGTGAGTCTTGATCTCTGTTAGGGATGCTGAATCCAAATAACCATCCTTTATCTTCTTCCCTCTCAAGTTTCTAACAGGCACACAATTGAGGTGAGGTGCAGAAATGGTAGCTGCATGTCAGATCTACCACTTAAGATACATTTTTGTTAAATATCAAATACATACAAAAGAAAAGTTACGAAGACAATAGAATGAACTCCCTGCGTCCAGTGGGACATTATGAAATGGAAAGTTGTGAATACACTGGATGCTCCTGTGTCATAGCTCCCTGCTCCTGCTACCCAGGAAGCCATGACCCTGGATTCCATTTTTATCGACGTCCTCCTTTCTTCACACTTTGATTGCATCATATTATATTCTTGAACAATATGTTGTTGTGTTTTACATGATTTTGAGCTTTATGAAAACTATTTCATATCATATGTATTCTTCTAAGACTTGTGTTTTCCAATCAGTATTCTGTTTCTGAGGTTTGGCCATACCGATATATTTATTTTCACTGCTCTGTACTATTAATTAAATGAGAATTTCACAATGTGTTTATTCATCGCTCTAGCAGTAGAAGGCTGGGCTCTCTCTGGCTATGCAATGTGGCTGTTATAAACTTCCTTTTTATGTTTCCCAATGGATGTACCACTAATTCTATGACTTAGAGTCAAAATTTATAAACTTTTATGTAGATATCACCTTCCTCAATATAACAGAAAAAATATGTGAAACTTAGAGAATGTCTACATTTCTGTGATGATAAAAATACAATAAACCAATAATAGAGTTAGAAATTGGCTCGATGGGGCCGGCCTGGTGGCGCACTGCTACAGTGTGCCACTTGGGAGCACGGCAGCACTCCCGCCGAGGGTTCGGATCCCACATACAGACCGGCTGCTCACTAGCTGAGTGAGGTGCGGGCGCGACACCGAGGATTGCGATCCCGTTGCCGGTCCTGGTCCGGTACGGGCGCGACACTGAGGGTTGCGATCCATTGCCAGTCACGAAAAAAGAAAAAAAAAGAAATTGGCTCGATGGACAAAGGTCTCATATAAGATTGATGATTTCCTCTGATTATTTTGCTGAAACATCTTCATGCTATATTTACAGATAATTAATTTGAAGAAGCAAAACCTCAAAAGATTTATAACTGTCTGATTATAAATCTTATAAATGTAAGTCCTAACCAAAAGGCTTACAATAACAACAAAGATTATCAAGCATATTTGTCATAGGGCATTGCAACTATTGTCTTAAAAGATTAGAAACATTTTTTTCTAGGAAACTACATTTTTTTAAGCTATAATTTACCATCTTTGTGTTAATTAATTCATGTGTGGTCCGAGGGTTGCAATCCCGTTGCCGGTCCCCGGTCCGGTACGGGGGCAACACTGAGGGTTGCGATCCGTTGCCGGACACGGAAAAAGACAAAAAGACAAAAAAAAAAATTAATTCATGTGTGTTAATATACTTACCACTCTATGTGCTATTTTTGTTACTTTCTTGTTAATCAATAGCATTCTGACCAGCTCTCACCTACAGCAATGGTCATTAAAGCTGTCCCTGCAGGCTCTAATGCAAACACAGGGTGAGGATGGGTGTCTTTTACAGTGACCCAAGATCATCTCTCTGAGCCTCATATTCCTTTAAAATGGGTATTGTAATCTCAACCACACCTTCCTTAAATACCCAACAAGATCAAGTGATATCAAGCATGCAGAAGTGCCTTATAATCAGTAAAATTCTGGGCAAATATAATCAAGGATTTAAAAAATCAAACAACCACACCTTCCTTAAATACCCAACAAGATCAAGTGATATCAAGCATGCAGAAGTGCCTTGTAATCAGTAAAATTCTGGGCAAATATAATCAAGGATTTAAAAAATCAAGATTTAAAAAAATCTTAATTTTTAACCTACTTATTTACAACTTTGATTATGTTGCTGGCTTTTAAAATGGTTCTACCAAGTGTTTAATTCTTTACCATTTCTTTTAGTCTAACTTTTTTTCCTTTTGATACAAAGCATAGAAAGATGTGTGAGACATAATTTAAGAGCAAATAAGCATTAGATTTGATTTCACCCAGTTGCCAGTAAAATACAATTCTGGTCATTGTTGCTATGACCAAGAGAATAATATTCTCTCTGCTGAGCTTCTACACCTATTCCATGGAGTCTCTGGTTTTTCATATAATATGAAGCAATTATAGGGCCATCAGTGGGGACCAGACAACTAATGCAATTTTCAAATATGGTAATACCTGGACTCTTTCTTTATCCTCCCTCTTCTGGGTCTCTCTCTCTCACTCGTGTATAACCCTCATGTTTGTGTGTACACGTGTGCAAGGCTTTATGCATGTATATGTGTATACCCTGACAGCCACTTTGCTTCCTCTCCCAGAGTTAATCTGTCTTCCCCATTTTACCCAGGAGACACAAACTGCCAGTGACTCCCAACATCCTTTTCTCTTTTTTCTTTTTATATAGAACTCCATTTCTATGTGGGCATATAGCTACCCAGCTAAAATACTGAATTTACCAACTTCCTTTGCAGCACTGAGCAGTCACAGGACTAAGTTCCACATTGTTAGTTCTCAATCTTAGCTGCACACTGGAATCATCTGGCAAGTATTAAAACTACTGATGCCTGCCTGCATCCACCCGGAAATAGCCTGATTCAATAGGTCTGGGAAGTGGCCCAGGCATTAGGACTGTTAAAAGTTCCATAGGTGTATCTAGTGTGAGAACCACTCTTCTACAACAGATGTGGGTAACAGCATTGGATGTAAGGGGGATTATGGAGGATAAGGTCACACCCGAGAAAGACAGAGAGTGAGCAGACAAAGCTTGGTCCGTGATGCTGTGGTGGAGTCCACATTCCAATCTGAACCACCTAGCTTAGGACTTCAGTCTTGTATAAGTGATTTTGCATGTGGTGCTTCCGTTATTCACAAACAATCCTAAATGATGGTATAGCCTATTATTATTTTTCCTCCTCTCTTTTTTCTTCCTTTATTGATCTCTCTAGCCCTACATAATATGGACTTAAAGTCCTCTCAAAAAATAGCTATATTAGTGAATATAATTTTAATTTTCATATTCTTAGTTGTTAACCAAATTGTTTTAATATGGCACAAATCTGAGGTTTTTTCTTTATGTTCTCCACTAGAATGCAGTTCCATAGAAACTCAGATCTTTGCTTTATTCACTGTTCTATCCATAGCACCTAGAAGAGCACATGAACATAGCAGGTGTTCAATAAATATACTCTGAATAAGCGTTCCTCACATAACTCTGTCTATAGATTAGATGCCATTGGTGAGAAAAGTTTCCCCATCATTAACACAGATAATTTTTACTTAATTTATACATGTGTCTTTTCTACCTCCCTAGGGTATGTTATCATCTATCCATTCTTCATTCTGATTGGTTATGAATTGTAGCCAAGCTCATTAAAATTCACCAAATATTGAGCAGTCCAAACTCTAAGTCTCTAAGGCCTAATTTTATATCCCATATACAGCAGATTGAATTATGTCCCACCAAAACTCCCTGAAGCTTGAATTGTGTCCCCCAAGTTTTCTGTATTAGAATCTTGGCCCCCACTGTGACTGTTAAGAGGGTGGGAAATCCTACTATGGTAATTGAAGGGTGGAGCCTTGTAGATGTGATTAGATTGTAGGACTGTGCCCAGTGAGTAGATTAAAAATGGTGGTAAGGGGCATGGTTCTGAGGGCTTTAAAAGCACAGTGAATGAGGAACTGTCTCTCTGTCTGCCCTCTCTACTTCCACCATCTTGCAATGTGAGACCCCTGGGTCACTGTTACTACCAGATGGGCTTTGGACTTCCTAGCCTCAGAAACTATAAGCAATAAATTTCATTTTCTTTGTAAATTACCCAGTCTCAGGTATTCTTTTATAGCAACATGAAACGGACTAATACACCATATTACCCACGTGAGTATAATAAGTACACAACTATAAGCAATAAATTTCATTTTCTTTGTAAATTACCCAGTCTCAGGTATTCTTTTATAGCTACATGAAACGGACTAATACACCATATTACCCACGTGAGTATAATAAATACACGACACCATATTACCCACGTGAGTATAATAAGTACACAGAAAGAAAAGAAATAGACTGTTTTAAGTAGACAGTACTTCCTACATTAAAAATATTGATACACATATACCCAGGGAGTAAAGTGATATTTTTTAAGCTAGAATAGCACAATAAATTCATATCTCAATGATATCCACATTCTACACAATTACCATATATTGAGAAAATCCTGGTAACCAAGAAGTTATTTTGTAAAGGGCAAAAGGAAGCAATGAACCAAGGAAATCTAAGTTCATGAGTCTATGGTCTGTATGTCCAAAATGCAACAGCTTTGCTGTTACTATCAAATAGAAGCGTTGGACTGGTATGGGTCTATGCTGATTTACTCCTCTCTATGAATTAAATTTACTCTCTGTCTTGATCTGTCATCTCATTATAGTATGTACACAACTAGACTTTCTAGTCCACAGATGTTGGCAGAAAGGTTTTTCAAGTACAATGATTATTCTG